CATCCTGTGTTCTTTGAGAATACGGTGACCAATCAATATCACCCCATTTGGTATTAAAAAACAAACACCCCAGACAAACAAACAAAAACAGTCATCACATTTTCTGAGCTGACCTCTGTGCCTTGGATTTAATGGGCTGAGCCTCATCTTGAAAGCCACTGTTTGGATCCCTTTTATTTAAGGTACCGTAGTGAGACTACGATACATGTACTGCTGAGATGCTCACTGACTGCAGATGGGTTTGTTTGTAACAAACCTGTCCATCTGTGAACGTAAACTCCAGCACCAATACTGTTTGAATTACCCTTACACGTTGACTTTTCCTTCTCATAACACATACCTTGTTAAAAAGTGAACAAAGCAAAACCCTTGACAACAGTGAACCAAACATGCTGAAAATGTAGCATTCTTTTATGAAGCTAGAAAACAGTCTTCTTGTCAGTAAAGAATTGATTCCCCATTTGTGGTTTATATATTTGAAAACAGTTTTCTCGGAAGGCGATTCATGCTCCCTGAGTCGACAAGGACCAGGCGAAACAGAGGAAGGCACCCAAGGTGTGGGGAGTGGGGGTGAGGGCTGAGTGCTAAAGGGTACAAGGTTTCTTTGGGGGAAGGATCAATGTGTTCGGAAACACGGAACAGTGCACAACTATATAAACACACGACAGTCACGAGCCGGCCAGCGTCAGTGGGTGAGTGCTAGAGAATGCAAAGCATCGGTCAGTACGGCAAAAACTCGGCGAGGTGGCACCCCGAGGGTTTTCACTTCATCAAATGGACTTTGACTTCATCTTTGAAAACCCTAATATACTTACTCAGTTATTTACAGACCATTTCACTTTTTAACTTTTCTAGATTAAATTCATGTTTTAAGGGCGATCTGTTAGGAAGAAGTCCTAGGTTGTAGGTAAGATCAATACTCGTGTTTGTTTCTGGGCTTGTATTTTCTCCTTCCCTCTTCGGCTGCTCTTGTCCGATGGTTTCGTGCTTGCCTCCACTAAACCCTCTCCCGGATCCCAGTATCGACAGAGGATTTATTTTTATGAATTTGGTCTCTTGCCCCTATTCGTCATATTGCAGCTGTAGCTCATGAGTTCTTATCAAGGTATCATGGTAGCCCTTTTCCTGGCCCCTTGGTATTCGCATTGGGAATTATCTAATGCATCACTACAGCAATTCATTTCCTCCTGAATTCGCCTTTTTCTGGAGCGAGAGAACATCGGGTCCATGGCTTCCCCTCTTGCCCCCCTGCCAGGTTACTACTTTGTATTTCTGCTCAATTTCTTACCCACAGAGATGTTCATCCTATGTTTAATTTTCTCTTGATATAGTTTGTCTAAAGCTGCTGTGTATATGGAATGGGGCAGTGAACAAAACTCATATATATGGTGCTGTCTTAGCAGGAGAGCTTATTGGCTAGTGTGATGGAATTTAAACAGAAAGCTCCAAAGACAGCATTCATAGCTCTTGGTAGAATATATATATACACACATACATATACATATACATATATGGATATCTATATATGTGGATATATCTATATGAATAGAATATATGTGGATTATCTCTATGAATAGAATATATATATGGAGATCTATGTGGAGATTTTGGATTTGAGGTAAGTACTTTCCTCCACTTTCAGATGGCGATGGGCTTTTATTGTTTCAAATAATATGTAACTGACAAGGTCATTAGTTAATGCTGTAGATACATATGTGGGACTTAAAGAAGCTAAGGAATTATGGGGAAAGTCTTACTGTATGATAATAAATATCAATGGGTATGGTTAAGTGCAATTTCTTAATATGGCTCTTGTATCCATGTCTCTGTAACTCCCACTAAATGGTGGGGTGGGACTGTGGAAATAGGGCAGATGTAACACTAACAGAGGGGATGGGTCAGTGTTAGTTGCCACTTCCCTGGCTATAAGGAGGCACAGGAACAAAGAGAAATCCTAGGACCATCAAGAGAAAAAGAGCCACTAGTGGACCATGTTAGTGCAGACTGAGGCTGCAGCATGTAGACCAGAGGACAGAGCAAAGGATCCAAGCTGAGAGCAGAGGTCGAGGAAAGGAGACCACGAGACAGCAAAGGAGCATTCTGAAACTGTGAGATTGTGGCCTGAGTAGCAGGCAGGTTTCCTGGCCCATGGAGACCACAGGTCAAGGGACCACATAGCTGAGAAGCCAAGGACTAGACAGAGACATAGCTGCTGGCTGAGGAGAAGTGGAGCTGTGAAGCAATGACTGAATCTTTAATGCTTTATGATCTTGCTTGTGATAAAAGCAGAGCTTCCCTGAAACCCCCCTTAATCACGCATACTGGCTGGGAGTTCTGTGGAGCCACTGCAATGAATTATTGAGCCCAGCAGAGAAGTAGAATGCTGGGGAGAAGAAGGCTGGTGGGTGGTGGCATGTCTAACCTTTCTGCCTGTGGCAACAGGCCTGGGGTTAGGTGGAGATGGATTTTTCCTTCTCCCTTCTGTAGCTAGAGGGGATCAGATCAACCCCTAAACCACTTAATTTCCATTTTCAATGACACAGCAGATGCTTCTTTTTAATTCAGCTTGATTATCCACTCCAACAATTATATGATTTTATGGTATGTTGATTAATATTCATTCATTCGTTTATCCACAAATACTAATTATACTCCCTGAGCATACTAAATCCCAAAACTTATTGCCATTGAGTTGATGTCAACTCATAGTGACCCTACAGGACAGGACAGGACAGAACTACCCCAGTGCGTTTCTAGAACTATAACTTTTTATGGGAGTAGAACGCAATCTCATGAGGAGCTGCTGATGGTTTTGAACTGTTCACCTTGCAGTTAGCAACCCAACTTTTAACCACTACACCACCAGGGCTCATTGAGGACCCTAAAAGACCCTGGGAATTCATGGGTGAATAATAAATGGTCTTTTCCTTCAAAGAAGTCAAAATGTATTAAGAAAATCGGCATCCTGCACCTCACTTCCAAACAAGCCATCGCCGCCCTTTAAGGTAATATAAAGTAAGCTATCTAATAGCTATAGGTGCAAAGTACTTCAAAGGCATAAATGAATGAAGATACTTCTTATTTGGCATGGTCTACAAAGAGGCAATTATGGAGTCTTCCCAGAAGAGGTAGCATATGGAGTGTATCCAGAGCTTCTATAAAGTAAGGAGAGCGAGCTTGTTGAAGTAGGATTTAAGGATCCTCCTGTTGGGGTCAGGCTCTGTGGGGTTGGCATGAAGTCATAGCAGCCCTATGTACGAATGAAACATCACCTGCCCCGGCACCATCCTCACACAATTGTGGTTATCTTGGAGCCCCTGGTTGCAGCCACTGTGTCAAGCTGTCATCTCATTGAGGGTCTTCCCTTTTATTTTTTTGCTAACCTTCCAATTTGCCAAGCAAGGACTGGTCTTCCTAATAACATGTTCAAAGTATGTCAGACAAAGTCTTGTCAACTGTGCTTCTAAGGAACATTCTGCCTGTACTTCTTCCAAGACAGCCCAAGGCACTGTCAAGATTTCTCGCTAACACCATAATTCAAATGCATCAGTTCTTCTTTATCTTTCTTATTCATCGTCTAACTTTCACCTGTCTAGGTGGCAATTGAGAATAAATGGGATTTCAGCTTATACTCAGATCAAGTACAGCGTTGTTACTTGGGTATGGATTTACTTGGCTAGATTTGGGAGAGCTGAGGGAGAGCCTTCTTCCTTCAACTTCTACCCCCTACCTCTCCGTGGTTCCCCATGTCAACGAGTACTGCCTACTAGTACTGAGCAGTCTTGCTACTTTCCAAGGAGAGGGTTCCAGGCATGAGCAAGGATGACAGTATCAGGCAGTTTTAATCATTAGTTAAATACACATGATCAGAAAGTAGGACATGCAATAACTAGTTTGCAGATGAAAAGATGGCCAGGAGGTGGATCGTACGGACGGATGGTCTCATAGGCTAAGAGACTGGACGTTTCTTTTGGGCAACAATGGGGGACCTTGAATGGTTGTAATGGAGAGTGAGGGAATCCAATTTACAATTTCATTATCACGTAAGAGGCAGTGGCTATTGAACTAACAATGTATTAGACACTATTCTAAGGACTTTATATGGTATTTTGTTTAAATTCTGTAAAACACTTAAAATGTAAAAACTCTTGGAGGATAGCTTTTTCATTTGGCTTTAGACTTGTAAAAGTTTAGAAAGGAGGTGCCTTGTTTTCTTGACTTGTCTATGAGGCATCCTTACCAAGGGTTTATAAAATTCTCCCTAAAATCCCCGATCATCACAGAACACCTTAGAATGAATATTTAGGTGTGTGGTTATTGTTCCTATTTAAGAAAAATCCTAGGATGTGCTAATGTTAAGAAAAAACAACAAAAAAACAAACACAAAACAAATTAAACCCCCAAATCATAAAAACCTGTGCTAACTATGATTCAAAGGGAAAAAATGAGCTGCAGCGAAAGCCAATTTGAGCTGGAAAAACTTGTATGCTTAAGTAACCAGACATGTGTAGCCACTTATGAAGCTGTCTGATTACATATGTTTTAAAACATCTGTCAGCAGACTCAGAATTCCACATGCAAAATAAAGCCCTCGTGAGCATTGCGGCAGTTGGTTCGGCTCTGAAGAAGTCTCAGAACCCGAGAGAAATATATAAGATTCCCTAAGTTGAAAACAGGTTTTCATGCTTGAGTTGAAGAAAATTTTGGAGCCAGTTCCCAAAAGCCGTGACTCATTTACTTGAACCTTCGCATCTTAAGGACAACACTGGAACCAACGCTAAAATGGAGGGAGCCCTGAAAAAATGTGATGTCAGCAAGTGCCAAGAAACAAATTAAAAGTCTATAGCTTAACTTAAGGCTTCAGAACTTAAGGTTGAACTTAACCTTAATCCTTTTTTTTTTTTTTTTTTGATAAAAACAACAGTAAAAACCACTCAGGGCAATTTCTCCACCATTAAAAATTTCCCACCACTGAAGTGCAAATATGGTTCCTTTCAAACCTGCAGCATTCGTTCGTCCTCTGAAGACATCGTCGTACGCGGTCCACTGTGGCTTCACCTGGTAGGCGTGGATGAACACCACAAACACCACCACGAGGCACATCAGGGGCACCAGGGCCGCAGTGAACAGCGCTGCATAGATGTTGGGGATAAAACATCTGAGAGAGAGAAAGACACGAGAATGGGTACCTCAGGCGGCATCGAGACAAATGTGTAAACTTAGAATATATAATGTTGACACATCAAACCAGCTGTTTTGTATCTAGGCTAGGTGCTGGCAAAAGCAAATGTTTGGTATGCCAAATTAGAGCTCTGTTTGAGCAGAGGGCACATGACACAGTCTGGCCCACTCCTTTACAAAGCAGGCTCACGGAGCATCTTTGAAATACTCATAAAGCTTCAAAAGGAGCTATGGCTTAAAAGGAGATAGCAGGTAGAATAAGGGACTTGGGGGCAGGGGGGACAGTGGTGGTGACTGTAGGGGAGGGGAGATGATGTTAAGGGGTCCATGTAGATAAGAAATGTTTGGAAAGTGTGGTATCAAATGTACAATTCTGCTGGACGTGTTGAATATGGAATGGTATGATATATGTATTAATTCCCGATTAATAATTAGTAAAAGAAAAAAAATCACATTATATAATCTTCGTGTAAATTCATTATATACACATGCATTTTAAAAGGCTATGGAAACTCATAGAATAAATAAATCATGACTTTGAAATCAGACTCTTTAGCATCAAATCTTAAATATCACAGATTAAATGAATGACTCTAGGTAAATTTCTTAACCTTTCCACATGGTTAAAGTAGGTTTATATAATGCTATCCAAAACAAAAGTCAGTTTTAAAGATTAACTGATAAAATTAATGTGAAACACATAGTTTGTTTCACACAATTCCTAAATAACTAGACCTCTTTCTTTCTTTTTCAGTATGTCATGCGCCCCACACGTGCACGCTCGCACTTGCACTCGCGCACGCAGAGACACACACACACACACACACACACACACACACACACACACACAGAGTCATGGTATAGGATTAATACCTACTATCTATAGTCATGCCAGGTTATTTTCCAAATTATTTGGTAGGTTCTCAGAAATTCCAAGGTTCCATTCTAACCCCTCTATTTAATCCCCCTAAAAGAAAAATCACTATTAATGCTATTGAGGTTTATGGTTGCAGAAATGTTGTTCCCAGTATTCTGCCCTGCCCTGTCAAAATGTGGTCATGCCTGCCCAAATCTCTCCTGGCCTGTCTGACTTCCCACGATGAGAGAGTAAGCAGGAGGGCTGGGACATAGAAGGCGGCCAGGGCATCGTTTCTTCCTCCTGGCCTCCTCTCTTTCCTCACCAACTTTTTCTCCATTTGGAATTTTCTTCCTAGGATGAGCCTAATTGTAGATACCAAGATGAGGGTTCATGGTAACTATTGCAGAGCCAATAACAAAACTTACACTATCTTGCTTTGCAGCTAAATTCTTCCCTGAAACTTCTCCTGGAGACCACAGGGTACCTTTCATATTTGAAGGCAAATTTGAGGCTTCCCAGGGCTCCAAATTCAGTCATCTTCATAACCTTATTTTTGAATAAAAGGCACGTTTATCATTCCTAACGTATACACTGGAGCCCCAGTTGTACAGAAGTTATGACTTGGGCTGCTAACTGCAAGCTCAGCAGTTTGAAACCGCCGGCTGCCTCACAGGAGAAAGAGGCTTTCTACTCCCGTAAAGAGTTACAGTCTCAGAAAGCCACAGGACAGTTCTCCCCTGCCCTACCGGCCACTGGGAGTGAGGATCAGCTCCATGGAGTTCGTTTGAGTTTGGTTTTGAAAGCTGTGCATTTTCCAACATGCCGGCGTGGAGTCGGGAGCCAGTGGAGAGGTCTGGGGGGCCCGCCCCAGTCCCAAATACTAAGTGGACACCTGCCCCTCCCCCGAGAAGAATGTATTTCAAAGGATGGCACTGAATCTGCAGCTCCAGGAGAGGGACATATCTGATCAGAGCACATGGGAGCAGATGAAGGGGGAGGAGGAGAGAATGGAGCACATCCTGGCCCACCAGGCCTTGAGGACGATGATCCCAATTAGAGCAGCCAGTCCACAGAGAGGACCACATGGCCAGCCCCACTATAAGACCTGACGTCCCTCACTGACCTTACATGGGACAGCACCTGAGACACAGTGTGGGAATTGCACACATTCTGATCCCGCCACACCGAGGCAAAACACTAAGGGGGTGCAGCAGAACAGCAAGAGAATGGAGCGGCGAGGTCCCCAGGGAATGCTGAACGTGGACTTTGGGGCCAGGGCATGGTGCCCCAACAGACTGGACTGGAAAACACTCCTAAAGACCAACAAATGATCCTTGAACTAACTACAAACTTTTCTTTCTTGTTGTGTTTTGTTTTGGTTTTTTGTCATTGGTTTGTTGTTGTTATTTTGTTGTA